AATTGAGTTATTATCTGGGTATGCAACAAGGTTCAGAGATGACCGATGTCCTGTTGATGTAGATGCAGGATGAATCCTGTTCCTGGCTGTGTAGGCTGAATCATTTTGGACGTATCTCCAAACGGATTCATTACGCAGATGTTTACCGCTTTGGTGAAATCCTCCCGCATTGGTATGCTGCTGACAGACCGGAGTCACAATCATAATCGGAGAATCTGGAATTCAATCTCATGTCCGCTAGATCCAGACTAAAACATTGTTCTGTATACAACACTTTGTAATGCACCAAACCCCTGGGCCACCCGTGACCTCTGTCTGACCATCCCTCCTGTTCATTGTACTTTTTATGAGATGTCATGTAAGCATGTACGCACAATTTTAGTTTCATAATACAGTAAACTACAGTTATAACGAACTCGAAGGGACCACTAACTTTAGTTTGTTATAACCGTAGTTCGTTATAAGCATATATACAGTATAACTAGAGCAAATAGTCGAGACAAAAAAAACCAGTTCGTTATATCCGTCAGTTCGTTGTAAGCTTGTTCGTTATAAACGTACTTTACTGTAGTTGCAAAGGACAGGAATTGGACTTTACTCTCTCTGAATTACTGCATTAAACCTCTCAAAATCCATACTGAAACGGCGCATGATATTGACTGTAGCGAGTGACTGGAAATTGGCTGATGGTCCCATTATAGTGTGATAATAACAGTCAGTCAGGCTTACAGGCAATAATACATCGGCGCCTCATACACGATTTGGTGCAGTAGCACGTCAATGTGTCATCCACAATTTTAGGCAATACAACGTCAATGTGTCATTCACAATTGAGGTAAAAATGAAACAATGAGGCATTTGTGAAAGTATATTATTTTGAAGCTGTAAAGGAACTTGAGTCCATGGCGCATAGTGAGATAATTTAACACAACCATTTCTCGAACCAGGTCCAAAACAGATCAGTTCGCGTCGGGAATTCAAGTCATGCACCATCATTTCATCTATAAAAACATTGATCTGTTGGATAAAGCCATTCGATTAGAGTTCATCCTGCTTTCAAGAAACCTGAGAAAGCAGCAATTGTCTGATCAAGTCTAGGTTACGTCACAGTTTATAAGGAGGGCGATAAACCAGGACAACAAGTGTATGTACTTGAGGAAGCATGTCAGATGGTTTCGTCCTTCAAAGTTGGCACTTCAGAGAAATAAAGGAACGTAACAATCACATAATCTTCAGCCATTCTTCATCGATCTTTGTACAGCGTTGTTGCTTAGTATCTGGCACCAACACCCTATTGTCTCTGCTCAGAAGCTGTCTATAAAAAGAAATTAATGTAAGCATGCTTGACATACAGTATAAACAGGCGAACAGGAATGTGTTATGGGTTTGAGTCATTGTGCCAGACTGTTTATATAAATACTTACTTCAATGCTTCAATCCGGATATTCGCTCAAGAAGGGCTGTGTAACGTGACACTGTACAACTTCCTTGCAATATAAATTATTTCCTTGTTTCTAATAATAACGTTAAGTTTTTCTGGTTATTTGTAATAATTGTTTTATACAGTTTCATCGTTTAAAAGTTCGCTGAATAGACTAAATAGAATCAAAGGCAAAATGTAATTCCCTTTCTTTCTGCCTGCCTGAATTTCTAACAGTCATTTAGCAGCCCCAGTTGATCTCATCAAAGCTTCAATGTTTGTTTGTTGTTTAACGAATTTGAAGCAGACAATCAAGTGAATATGACAGATGTTAAGGACTCCAAACCTCATGTTTGTATATGTTACAATCAATGTGTAAAATGACTGAAATTTTCACTTAGGCAATATACAAAACGTCAAAATATTTCAGTCGTTTAATTATGCATGGATTAGAAGCTAAATTATTTTTTTTAAATATACATTGACTTTCGAATTCTTTTAATCCTATCTTTTTCAATCACATAGTGATGAAATGGAATATAAACATGTTTGGAATAATTGAAATATTAACAAAATATTTTGGCGTTTTGTAAATTGCTTAAGTGAAAATTTCCGTCATTTTACACCTGTTGTTGTTGGGAGTCTTTCACGATTAGAGGATCTTGAAGTAGAGACAATGCTTCAACAAAGCTTATGTACACGATAACGTAACCATTTATGATTGGGGAGACGATCGCATCAAACTCTGTATGAGGTCTTGGTCACTCAAGGTCACACTATGAAATATGGTTCAAATATCAGGAAATTCGGCTTAATACATGAAAAGTCAAAGCATTCTGCCATCAGTTAAAATAGTTCATTCAACATCTATCATATGCAATATGTGTAGTTGTGTCATATGTCAAGGTCTTTTTGAAGGTCACTCTCTGATGATATTACATCTAAAAAGTTTTTTCAGAAATTAATGTCTAAGTGGAAGCTTCATACTTGTAACACCACATACCACTTCAAACAGAAGTGACATTTTGAATGTGCTCGTAAAGTAGACGTTTTAAAATGCGCGTGTACTCTATAATGTAGTATTTATGATTGGAATTGAAAACATGAAATTGGACAAGAAATCACGTTGTCAAAACCTGAATCATAATTGATGATGATGCAGAAGATTGTCAAAACATGGATAATAATTGATGATGATGCAGAAGATTGTCAAAACATGGATAATAATTGATGATGATGCAGAAGATTGTCAAAACATGGATAATAATTGATGATGATGCAGAAGATTGTCAAAACATGGATAATAATTGATGATGATGCAGAAGATTGTCAAAACCTGAATTATAATTGATGATGATGCAGAAGATTGTCAAAACATGGATAATAATTGATGATGATGCAGAAGATTGTCAAAACATGGATAATAATTGATGATGATGCAGAAGATTGTCAAAACATGGATAATAATTGATGATGATGCAGAAGATTGTCAAAACATGGATAATAATTGATGATGATGCAGAAGATTGTCAAAACCTGAATTATAATTGATGATGATGCAGAAGATTGTCAAAACATGGATAATAATTGATGATGATGCAGAAGATTGTCAAAACATGGATAATAATTGATGATGATGCAGAAGATTGTCAAAACATGGATAATAATTGATGATGATGCAGAAGATTGTCAAAACATTGATAATAATTGATGATGATGCAGAAGATTGTCAAAACATGGATAATAATTGATGATGATGCAGAAGATTGTCAAAACCTGAATTATAATTGATGATGATGCAGAAGATTGTCAAAACATGGATAATAATTGATGATGATGCAGAAGATTGTCAAAACCTGCATCATTATTGATGATGATGCAGAAGATTGTCAAAACATGGATAATAATTGATGATGATGCAGAAGATTGTCAAAACCTGGATAATAATTGATGATGATGCAGAAGATTGTCAAAACCTGGATAATAATTGATGATGATGCAGAAGATTGTCAAAACCTGAATCATAATTGATGATGATGCAGAAGATTGTCAAAACATGGATAATAATTGATGATGATGCAGAAGCTTGTCAAAACCTGAATCATAATTGATGATGATGCAGAAGATTGTCAAAACATGGATAGTAATTGATGATGATGCAGAAGATTGTCAAAATATGGATAATAATTCCTCATCATACAAAACCTTTTCGATGATAACTGATGCATCAGAAATGCCTTTTATACATGCTATGTATAAAGGTCATGTTAAACAGCAAGGACGTTCATACACTGAAAGCCTTGCTGACATGTCTTTTCCAAAACCGGAAATGGTGTAATTAAAACGGAAATGCTTATGACGTTTGAAAAAATGTAGCCAGAGGCAGGAGAATTTCTCTTTTACAGTTGTACTGCGTTAAAGCTGCACATATATGATCAAGGGTCAAATACACGTAGACACTGGTGAGGTCAGCAATCACAAGCTGGAACATTTCTGAGCTTGATGTTGAATCATATTCACTACCTCATTGTCGGCTTTGTCAGAACGTTCAGAATGAAGTGATCCATCACCAGGTCAACGTTTGTGATCGGAACAGGCATCAAAGTAGGCTACGATGACCCTCTCCATAATCATAAAACATCTCAGCTGAAAGAAGAATCCGTTGTTCGATTCAGACTATATCATAAGTGTTTATGAGGTGAAGTGAAATGGGGTTTAACTTCGCGTCCAACATGTCTACCATGAAGCTGTTTGAAAGCTTTGGTGAGGCCTTGAATGTTGTAACGCTGATAAAAAACATTTGCATTAATAGTCGTATGATTCCTTTGAAATCTTTGGAGAAAGACCATTCTCGATTGTACCTCAAAGGTTGTGAAATGTACTCACCAAAGACCGTAGCAGCTGGAAACTGTTCGACATAGAGGAAGAAAGGACTATTTGAAAGTCGAAGTCATAACTCTTTTCATACAGATTTGTGGATAGTTTTTGTCAGTCTGAGCATGAAATAGATGAGACGGTTTGACTGGTATCATTTATTTTCTAAATCAATGAATGGCCGTTTTACAGTTCTTGAACGATATCAGATTATCGATGTACCCGATGCTTAAATTAAACTTCTTGGCCAAATTCCCGTCCTGGTGTGGGCATTCCTAGTAGAAATTCCTGTATAGGAAACAAATCAGAAGGGAGAGGAGCACACTTGGTGCCCAAGGAGATGCCTCCTTCACACATGTCCTATCTTGAAGGCTCACTTACACTTATCTGAACATTAATTCTTTTAGCACTTACATGTAGACTTATCTAGATCTGAGCATTAAACTTTCCAGCATTACATTTTCACATATTGTTTACTAAGCAAATTTCAGACGACGTTTAAACATAAGTGAAGTTCATCATTGAGCTTTTAGCAATATTCCAGAAATACCACGGCGGGGGACACCAGAAATTGGCTTCACACATTGTACCCATGTCAGGAATCGAACCCGGGCCTTCGGCGTGACGAGCGATCGCTTTAACCACTAGGCTATCCCAGCGCTCTATTTTCATCATTGAGTTAATATTGTTGTTTGTTTTGTTTCAGTCTCGTCCTGCTCTTGAGATGAGGAAACATTATGGCCGCTGTTCCCAGGAATCGTTGAAGACAAGCATCCATGCTGCTTCAATGGTAAGGTTGGATACGCAATTCGTAAATATACCCATGGAAATGTATTAGGGAACGCAAAACAAAGGGAAGCATTTGTGTGAAATCACATCGAACATAGATCCTGAAGATCACATGAGATTGTTTACAACATCGGTGACGCGACAGGCGCTGACATCGATCGGATTCTGAAGCGGGTGGGGTGTAGAATATGTTACCAGGAGCCTTTGATGGAGTCGACTAAAGTTATAGCTGGGAGAGTTCGAGCTGCGGTGTTAAACAACAATCACTCCACTTACATATTTAATCTTGAACCGGCGATACACGTTCGTCGGTAATAACCCAACATGTTTCTTTAGTTTTCCTCATCAAAATGGTTGCCTACGATGACAAAATGAAAGCATTAATTTGTTTGTTGTCAAGGTTTAACCTATGAAGGTTAAGGTCACTATTTAAACCATCGTGTGTGAAGGTTAAGGTCACTATTCAACCAATCATATGTGAAGGTTAAGGTCACTTTTTAACCAATCATATGTGAAGGTTAACGCCACTATTCAACCAATCATGAGTGAAGGTTAAGGTCACTTTTTAACCAATCATATGTGAAGGTTAACGCCACTATTCAACCAATCATGAGTGAAGGATAAGGTCACAATTCAACCCATCATGTGTGAAGGTTAAGGTCACAATTCAACCCATCATGTGTGAAGGTTAAGGTCACTATTCAACCCGTCCTGTGTGAAGGTCAAGGTCACTATTAAACTGACCAAGACATTTCGTTAAATGCTTATATCATATTTCAAATACATAGCATACCACGTCATTTTCAATTCTTGGCAATTGTCAGACATGTTGTGTCACAGACAGTAATGCCAAGGGGGAAAGCCTTTTCTGTCCTGGTGTTCATCCTCAGGTCCAGACGCTGTAATGAGTGCCTTGTGTGAAACTGAGACATTGCCTCAATGTAATTAGGGTAATCTTGCCCTGCCATGATGGCTTCGATCATTAACAGTAATGTGATTTAGCAGACAAGTAAGGTCGTGTGTGAATCACCTGATTCAATCTTCCTATCTCTCCTAATGGGTTCTGGTCTAATCTGATGTAAAGTGGTTTGTATCAATCGTATATCAACACTTTGCATACCAAATATGTTCCCTTGTCACAATCTATTACCAAATATATTTATTGGAAACTATGTATCGACAGTGATAAACACTTCATGAAGTCAGTGACGTTTGAAATTATTGTACCTCTGCCTGGCACCACATTGGTTCACAGACATTGGTTCATGGGAATAGGTACCGTTAAGGTGTGAGCACTCACATGCCAAAAACAAGCACTGTGAGCACAATGAAAATACTTTGTGAAAAATGAAAGCGATGCCATCTGAAGTTTACTGAGAAAACAAGATGTGAAATGCCGGACCATATTGATAACATCTACGTCAAGTTTTGGGGTAAGACATTTCGGCAAGATCTAGGCATCCCCATGGGCACCAATTGTTATCCCCTTCTTGCTGATCTGTTACTTTATGCATACAAATAGGAATTTCTGTTCGGATTGCCAAAGTCAAAACACGGTAATTTGGCCAAGAAGTTTAATTTAAGCTTCAGGTATATCGATGATCTGATATCGTTCAATAACAATCAAATAGCCAATTCCCTTCCACTGATTTACTCACCTAAACTAGAAATAAAGGAGACCAGTGAGACCGCCTCATCCGTTTCATTTTTCGATCTGTGCATAAAGATTCAGAGTGACAAAACACTCTCCACAAGACTGTATGACTTCAAGTTTCCAATGGTCAACTTTCCCAATTCATGCCGCGCAATATTCCAGCAGCTCCCGCCTTTGGTGTTTACATTTCACAACTTTTGAGATACAATCGGGCGTGCTCTCTTCCTACCAAGATTTCAAAGAGCGTCATACGACTCTTGCTCAGAAGTTGTTTGATCAAGGTTACATCATTCAAGGTGTCAGTAAAGCTTTCAAATGGTTTAATGGTGAACATGTGGAGGACATTTCCAAATTTGACGCATCAGTGAAAAAATGATGTCCGATGCAATTCCCTATTTTGACTTGTATCATACGTTCCCGTGTTTTTTTTCAGTTGAACTGTTGACTTTCCTTTGCATGTATTTGTGACGGGTGCCATAGGTGGGGCAGGATACGCTCACCTTTACGCGACCACCTGGTATCATTACCTTTTGATAGTTATTCATAAACACATGCTCATGATATGGTCGGAAACGTACAATCAACTCTGCTTTACGTAGAGATTTCAATTGGATAAGGGAAGAGGTTTGTCGCTTTATTTAGAACATTTACGATAGTTGCTTAGGACATTTACAACAGTTGCTTAGAACACTTACGACAGTTACTTAGAACATTAAAGCCTGCGCCATCAAGGAAGACCTGTATTAAACATTCAGGCAGTGTATAAGACTACTGAATTAGTTAGCTATGTAATTATACATTAACGACAGTTGCTTAGACCATTTACGACAGTTGCTTAGGTCTTTTACGACAGTTGCGTCGAACATTTACGGCAGTTGTTTATAACATTTACGGCAGTTGTTTATAACATTTACGGCAGTTGCTCAGAACACTCAATGTGGCACCCATTATTCACTCACATAGCCTTTATATGTATCCTGTTTAGCCACATTCTGCCACACATCCTCGTGTACAGGTAAGCACCCCCATGACTTGTGGCGTAATTTACAAAACAATATTCAGAACATGTACGGCAGGTGCTTAGAACACTTACGGCATTTGCTTAGAACATTTACGGCAGTTGTTAAAAGCATTTACGGCAGTTGCTTAGAACATTTACGACTGTGAAGGGAGACTTGTATTAAACATTCAGACAGTGTAATAGACTATTTAATGTAGTTATTGTAGACTCAGTCAATGTATTACCTTCGCCTCTGTAGTCCCCTTTGATCGGCCTTCTCTTTATAACGACTCTACACCAGATGTTCAATTTGTATGAAGGACAAAGCATCACAGAAGGGCAGCGGTTGCTGGCAAAATGGTTGGTAGATCACAAGACAATAAGACGTTAAGTTGCTGAAGAGTGCCATGGCGACCTTAATATCAAGCAAATAAGAAGGAATTGTCATCAAAAGAAACAAGAAAAAAAACCTTACCACAACATAATCGAAAAACGATGAAAGCAACTAAAGATAAAATGATGAATCAGTTTCGAGAATCTAATACATCAAAGTAAAACGGTTTATTCTTTGAAACGCAGCGATGTCATATCACAAAAGTACAAAAAGGTGGTTCTTTCTGAAAAGTTGACTAAAGTTACAGCTGGAAGATTTTATGCTACGGCGTTAAACAGCATTCGCATCACTCACGAACCTATTCTGAAAGCATCGATAAGGTTTCGTCTGTAATATCCCTATAAGTAACCTTATTTGGTCGCATCGATATGTTTGCCTAATGTTGAAACACGAAAGCATTTGTTTTCAATGTACTTGTCATTGTGTGTGAAGGTCAAGGTCACTACTCGACCGGCAAGAAAGAAATGGTTATATTTTATTTCAAATCTATTTGTATTCAATCATTTTCGTTGCATGAAATGCAAGGAGAGTTTGACGATTGTCAGAAACGTGTGTGTCTGTGACGTTATTGCCAAGGGACAATAGCCTCGTGGTCCTGGTGTTCCTTGTCGGGTAGCCGAGTGGTTAAAGCGTTCGCTCGTCAAGCTGAAGACCTGGTTTCGTTTCCCGACATGGGTACAATGTGTGAAGCCCATTTCTTGTGTCCCCCGCCGTGATATTGCTGGCTTATTGCTAAAAGCGGCGTAAAACCATATTCATTCACTCACTCCTTTCCAGTACAGGGCCCACTTGCACAAGGCCATCTTAGCGTTTATATTATCTTACCCTTGTTAAACTATGGTAGTTACGATCATCTTAGCGCTAAGATCGCTTTGTGCAAGCGGGACCAGGGCTACAGGTTGTAAAGGTCTAGTCGGTGTTTAGTCGAAAGTCAGACATTTCTTGAGGTTCACATTCGAAATACCCCTGAAACCACCTGGTTGGATCTGCTTAGACGCGTGCTTCTTGTAACATGCCTACCTCTCAATGGTTAGCGATCCTTCCACAAAGGTCGTCTTCCTCTTTCAAGTGTTAAATGCATGCCTACCAGGCTGTCTCGCCTGTCGGCTGGCGTTGAGAGATATGGGCCCAAGGCTTCCTCACTTGGTATTTCCTACAACATGTATGATCTCATTTGGAGGATCTAATACACGCCAACACTGAGTTTGCCAGGGTGAAGACAGATACCAGCGCACTTGTCGTAAAGCATTACGCAAATGATTGATTCAATGTATTTGCCGTAGTAGGAAATATCATAGTTTTTTCACTACGGTCTGTAAATAACTGACTGACTGAGTATGGTTTTACGCCGCTTTTAGCAATATTCCAGCAATATCACGGCGGGGGACACCAGAAATGGCTTCACACATTGTACCCATGTCGGGAATCGAACCCGGGTCTTCGGCGTGACGAGCGAACGCTTTAACAACTAGGCTACCCGACCGCCCCTGTAAATAATGGAGTCTGGACCAGACAAACCATTGGATGACGGGGTACTGGGACCTGGCCCGGTGGGACCGGGGTGACGGTGTTCGACAGCTTGACTGAGAGTTCTAGGTTTCTGCCCAATACTGAAGCACGTGTCTCCTTAGGCAATTAATTTGTTCGAAATGTGCCTCTGTTCACCGTGCTGTGAATGGGTACCCGGTAAGATGAAGTGGTTATGTGAGGGTTTACCTTTTACAGGCAGCTGGGTTAGCATACTCCCCAGGGAGCGGAGAATGAGCTGAGTGCACACTGATCCATTGATCGGGGTAAATAATCTATCGCTAAGCGCTTGGAGCACGATTTCGGGTGAAGATTTGATGCATTATTAATATGCACATATTATTACTGGACTAAAATTCAAATGAAGCTTCTCGGGAAACACACTGAAGAATAAAGCAGTCTTAATATAGTCTGACATTCAACACG